TAGTGTACAAATAAATGCATTACTCCAGCAGATATTGAAGTGAGAAACAAATTATCTCTGCAAGTTGGTTCCCATTTAGACCCCACATGAAAGCCGGAAATATCAAATGTACTGCCTGATTTTCATATCACGAGCAGTTTAGTACCCGACACTCGTTAATAACGTTTGGGACAAGAAAGACATTGCATACCTGCCACAGGGGAATACAGAAAGTTCTCCTTTACCCACTCATGTTTGCGAGGCGCGCTCGAAAAGCGTGAGTGCGGACGCGCAGTGCACCTCATTGTTCCATATTCGATGCATACGTCAAGGTGCCCGAGTTGTGGTGCACTGTTTCTACTAATATCAACGGATCTAGATAGTTTCGTTCCCGATTGACAAAATTTAGTAAATCTTATTTTTCTTAATATTCGCGACTGCTTTATACATGTGGCAAACCAGCTTAGTCTTCTTGACCGCTACCTTTGTCATCGTAAATATACCGTAATTACTCGAATCTAACGCGCACCTTTTTTCGGGTTGAGTTCATAAATCGCATGCGCGTTAGAATTGAGTACGAAAAAAAAATGAATACGGTCATTCTATTGCCATCGTCATTTCCTAAATTCCCGCCCCCTACGTGCGTCGGCATGGCGCATCGGCCATTTCTGCCTATGTGTTTCCCATGTGCAGCACTTCGCACGTGTTCTGAGGAGTTCGTCATCTTGTAGTGCATTAGCATCAACGGCACGGAAGGGCCGACTCCAAAAACTCGACGAGTGCACAACGATGCCGCTTTTGAAAGAAAAGTCATCGGATGTGCCGAAACGGACGGAAGTCGGGCCGCATCGCGGTCGTTCGGAGTTCCTGAAACGTGCGTGCGGGCTTGGCAAAAACAAAAGCAGAATATTGTCGACAGCAAAGATTCATGCGAAGGCTTCAGTGGACCACAGCAGGGTCGGTTGCTGCAAATTGAAGAGCTGCTCGGCCAGTATGTGATAGAGCAGTGAGCGGCACAGCGGTCTGTGACGACAGAACTGCTCCAAGTGCAGGCTATGCAGTTAGCCTTAGAAAAAGGGCTAATGCAGAGCCAGTTTAAAGCGAGCATGTGCTGGCTAACTAACTTTATGAAGAGGAAAGGCTTTTCTCTACGAAGGCGAACGTGCATATGGCAAAAGTTGCCGGAGGAGTACGAAGAAAAGCTTCACATTTTTCAGAGGTTCGTCCTAAACTTGCGGCACAACGGCTACCTGCTTGGGCAAATCTGGAATGCCGATCAGACGCCTCTTTACTTCGACATACCTGGCACCACAACCGTCGAGAAGAAGGGGGTGAAGCATGTTCGCCTGCTGTCATCGGGTCACAGTAAAACTAGAGTGATGACAATGCTCCGTTTCACGTCAGATAGGTACAAGCTTCCCCCGTACCTCATATTTAAACGGAAGGCACTCCCGAAAGGAGTCGTTTTCCCGAGTGGTGTGATCGTGCGGGCCAACGAGAAAAATGGGTGCGCGTTGCAATCGATGTCTTACTTTTTTTTTTTCGTCGTGGAAACCGGGTGCGCGTGACAATCGAGGGCGCAGTAGAATCCAGTAAATATGGTACGCTATCATCATTTCAGCATTAACACATTTAAGTTAAACATTACTAAAACATCACATTCTCTCAAACATGCTCACCAAGCAAATTCTAATATGTAGTGGGAGAACCGCTCCTATGCGAGTTAGTAAGGAGTATGACTGCACAAGAAATGATACCAAGCTATTATTCCTTGGCTTTTTAACGTGTCTTGCGTACTTCTGCAGTTCCTAATGAATCTCGTGCCAGCAGCTTTATGAGGGCGTTCGCTATTACGTTAAAAAACTACAGTGTAGACCGCTTATAACACGGGAGTTCTAAATATCCGCGCTATTAGCGATACCGCGTTATAACCAAAGCATGCTTTTTTCGGCCTTTGCCTATGTCAAAATGGCAACCCACCTTTCAAAAGCAATTTACTACACTTTTCACTCGCAGACACATTCAACACAATCGCAACACCGCACGGAAACAAAGTTGTCAAGTCTGGCATCAGCGGAAGAACGCCGTTATTTTCGTCTGGCGATGCTTGCGAACAGCGCTGCGAACAATTTCTTCCTCCAGAAAGCTTAAGCACTGAAGCGATTTCTTGCTCAAACTGTTTTTCGCGCAGTACGTTTTCACTTTAGCGAGGTATTCCAATGCATCTTTGCACGGGAAATCTGGTTCTGGTGTCGGGTCGACATCGTCTTCGTTGTCCGACTCGTCATCCGTTGCAACCTCCGCACTACCGCACACCGCTGCGAACGATCGTGTCATCTGTGCTTGCTTCCTCGCAGACAGAAAGCTCCGACTCCCCGGCATCGACAAATTATTCGAAAGTGTCGGTGGCGGTTACAAAGTTGCTGTCAACGAGGCAGGACCACACGTCGTCCGTGTTGAGGGTCTCATCAGCGAGCGACGTGTCGCTCTGCTCATCGTCTTCCAGAGCCTCTGCATTGCGCACAAAGCCTGCCCTCTTGAAACACTTGCTTATGGTATCGGCCTTTACCTGCCATCATGAAGCGACCATCATGTTAATTGCGCCTCTTAAGTTCACTTTAAGAGGCTGCTGTTGCTACATGCTCAGCAAAACTCTCTCGCAAATGCGCTTTTTGTACAGCGCCTTTACGAATTGCGATGACACCCTAGTCGAGAGGTTGACTTTTTGCTGTAGTGTTGGCAGGCAAAAACTTTAGGTTGACTGCGGTCAACTTCGGCTTGACGTTGTGGGCCCGTGCAGCTGTCGAGGATAAGCACGACCCGCCGCTTCTCTGCCACCATGTACTCATCAAACTTGCAAAGCCAGCTGGTGAACAAATCCTGCGTCGTCCACGCCTTTTTATTGGCTTTGTAGGTCACTGGCAGGCACTCTCGCTTCTTAAAGCAACGTGGCCTTGCCGTTTTACCTATGACAAAGAGGCGGCGCTTGTCGCTGCCGTCCGAATTGGCGCAAAACAATACAGTTATGCGCTCCTTTGAGACGTTGCGGCCGGAGCAGGCTTCGCCTTTCAGCGCAAGCGTGCGGTTGGGCAAAAGGTTATAAAATAAACCAGCTTCATCGGCATTATAAATGTCTCTGTCAGTATAGGTCGAGAGCATATTCTCCAAGTTCAAGCGAAGCCAGACTTCGATAGACTCGTCGTCGACAGCGCCGCTTTCTCCGCACACCACTTTGCAGCTGATGCCATGGCGGTCTTTGAAATGCTGAATCCACCCGTTGAGTGGATTGAAGTCATCGTGGCCTAAAAGAGCTCCGAACACTTGGCCTTTTGTTGGAGCATGGGGCCACTTACTGGGATGCTCTGAGCCCTAACTTCGCGGAACCACCTCAACAGCGCTGCGTCCATGTCTTCGTATTTTGACGTACGTATTCTCTTCCGTGACAGGGAAGACGAATCTTGCTGCAGTTGCTGCCGCAGTTTGTCCTTGTTTTTGTAGATGGTTGACACGGTCGTGTTGGAAACGTCGTATTTCGCCGCCACCGACGCCTTCTTCAGGCCACCCTCAATGTCCCTTATGACGCATTCCTTAATCTCCAGCGATAAAGCACGGCGTTTTTTCACACCGCTTGAAGACGCCGCCGACGCCATGGCGACAGGAGCTACGCAACACACGTGCTCTGGGCTCTCAGACGGCAACGACACGGCGAAGCGCACACAGCAAATCCAAAGAGGCAAAAGAAGGAGGTCGAGAAAAAAAAAAAAAGCATGCTATCGCTTCTCTCCCCCACTCCGCGCAGCGTGCACCCGGATTGGACGCTGCCACGGTGACGAAAACACGCTCCCTCCTTCCCAGGTCTCCCCGACTCCCTTTCTACTGTACCCTCTCTGCTCCGCAATGTTTGACTTTTCGCGGCGTTCTTCACGTGCGCCCTCCCGTTCACACTCCCAACGTTCCGGCGCGCCGGGAACGCTGCCGGGAAACCGCGCCGGGAACGCCGCCGGGAAACCGTGCCGACCCTGCTCCGTACGCAGATTTTATGGTCGCGCGCCTAAAAACTCCGTGCTATAACCGGTATTCTCCTTCGCGTGCCTACGCAATAAACGGTCGGCCTATACATTGAGTTCTATGGGCGATATATCGGTGGTCAAAAAAACCCACGTTATAACCGGTCCCGCGCAAAAAGCGGTTACGTTATAAGTGGTCTGCACTGTATCGAGATGCATTTTCTACATTGAGTAACTACAGGAATGGAATTGAGCTGCCTGGTCATTCACGGAGTGGGAATGGGCAAATTTTTTTCATTCTGAGGAATTAAAAGGAATGGAATTGTGGCAAGTCGTAATTCCCTTGAATGGAATTGAAATGGAATGGAGGTGCCCATTCCCCAACACTGGTCTCAACGTGATGTCGGTGACAAAGGCTCCAGTCGCTTGTCCCAAAACCACTATATGATTATGAGAGACGCCGTAGTGGAGGGCTCCGGAAATTTAGACCACCTGGGGTTCTTTAACGTGCACCCAAATCTGAGTACACGGGCCTACAACATTTCCGCCTCCATCGGAAATGCAGCCGCCGCAGCCGGGATTCGAACCCGCGCCCTGCGGGTCAGCAGCCGAGTACCTTAGCCACTATACCACCGCGGCGGGGCCACCTTTGCTGCTTGCTTTTTTTGTTAAAAGAAATTCTTAATACACGCAAAGCTCAAATAATAAACACGGATATAATGAAATATCGCTTGTAACGAAGTCAACAAAAAATAGTCTTGCAATGAATACAGGGTTAGCAATAACCTTTCAAAAAATTTTTTCTGATATAACAAGCTTACTTTTTTGTGAGATGCAGTTTTATTATAATGAGTTTCAAGTGTACCTAATTTTACCACGAGAGGCTAAATTCTTGGTACCTAAGAATTTGGCCTTTTGGGTACAATCATGTTAGCACGTTGTGTACAAGATGTGTTTAGGAACAATCGCGCGGTGAGTGTTGGTGTGCGGCTGAAAGCCCTTTGGCTCCTGCAGGGCCATGAGTGCAGGCACAACCAGGCGTGCTGGAGAGGGCTGCAGTATCTGGGCATAGGGCCAGGTAGGTAACAGCCATTTACAGCACAACTCAAAGATTATTCTCTTTAGATTGCGGTGGAGTGGCACTTGACATAGAGATAATCATTGCTCTGAAGCCATGAATGAGTACACGAATAATGTATTTTTGGCCCTTGGTGGCTTCTAGGCCATACGATGTTTCAACTGAACACAGCAGGGATAGTTGTAATAGTTAAACCTTGCTTCGAAAGATCATTCTCCAGCTTTACCCTGTGTCAATGCTTGCTTGGCGTTAATTTTGTTATGACTGGAATGTTTTTATTATCAGCACTGGTTCTTCATGTAGACATTGAAAAAAAAAATTATTTTGTTGTTTTATTTTCCTGCTTGCCGTGATTGGTAGATGTATTGTGTGGTGGCTTGCGAGTGAAAGGCTTTGGGTACTTGGCATTCTAGTGGGCCTTTGCAAATATTCAAGCTTTTTGAATATTGTTACAGTTACAGTAGTTGTATTTGTTTTGAGGCAAACATAAAGCTTCTGAAATTTCAAGCTATTCAAAACGAATTAATTTATGTACAGGGTCGCTTGACATGAAGCCGTCATGTAATTCAAGGAAAATGCATACTGCTGTGAATGCACACATCTAAGTTCATTGTGCATGCTAGCTGCACACCAGTAATATCTCGTGAAACTTTTTTAGTTCATTGTCGAGTGAGGCCCGACAACACGACACAATTGCAGTGGTTCATTGTGGGCTCCTGCTGGACAAGTTGTTTTTTGGTTTATTCAAACACAAGTTTGCTCACTGCACTATGTGCTCTCTGTAGTAGTGAGAGCGATCTTCTTGAGCCTCAACTTTTACTTGAGCTTTGAGCTCAAGGTTTACTCGAGGCCTACATAAGCATCGGCCAGAACTGACAAAAGGTGAGGGAAGGGCTTTGAACAGCAGAGGGCAGTGGTTTCTATTGGCTGTATGGAGCAAATGTTGAAATGCAATGCATTTTACTGCTCGTAACTCGAGCCATGCTATTTTAGTTTGCTTCTGAATAGTTTCTAGTTAATACCATTCACATTTCTGACTGCTTCAAACTGAAAAATTTACCCTATTTACTCTCAAAATAGGCGTACTTGCTTAATAGGTGCACCCCCAATTTTGTCTAGAAAAATGTGATTTTTTAAATTCCTGCACAGAATAAGCGCACCCCAAACTTTCCTGTAATCAATAGTTCTGCATTGTATTTGCACGGCTGTGATTCGATGCCCTCTTACGTTAACTGTAGTGAGCAAAAAGAAAAGCGTGCTGTGGTAGATGCACAGGCTCTCCGAGTGAGGAAGTGCGGTTGCTTGGCCATCAGACTAATAACCTTTGCACTGGTGCCGGAGTGGCTCCGGGCCCTAGCAGGCTACGCGCGCTTCGCATGGAATGTGGGATCATGTCCATATCAACTGGGCTTTGAGCTTCTCGAGGGGGGAAAAGTGTCAGTCGCTATCACATTTGCTACTTCGCTCACAATGTACAAAAGTTTTTCAGTTTGCCGACGCGAGCTTTCGTCTTTGCTGCCACTACGCGAACTTGCACGAGTTCGGCGGATTTTTGTCTCTGTTGATTTCCCAGCCGCAAACCTAAACATTATATCACTCGTCCTACTCTAGAAGCGGTGCTTGAGTGCAATCTTTTCGACGCCCAATCTTCATGTTGTCTTGCTGCAAACTTCCCGCGACAACATGCTGAACCATAATCTAAGCATAATCAGTGTTGGTTGCTTTTTAGTGGCGGTCACAAGCGACCAAAGTTGCGTTCTTGTGCGGAATCAACGTAGCTCTCTGCGATGGCTCTACTTAATCTAGTAAAGGTAGCGTGGGCAGCGCTTGGAACACTTGCATGGGTGGTTTGCGATTCGATTGCAATGTCTTGGATATGGGATGTGAGCCTGTGAAATTGCACAATTGGTTCCGTTCAGCGCACAAAATTTCAGTCGTGATAATGCGCATTATTTAGGTAGCCTGAAACGTTAGCGGCTGGTTTCCACGATGGCGCTTTCTTTTCTCTGCGCTATTTTTGTTGGCGACGCAGATCTCTTGGTATTATTTTCTGTAAATTTGAATGCTTGTAAGCGCACCGCATCACATGCGTCGATTTTCGGACCCTCGAGACTGCATTCTCAACATGTTTTGCGCTAGCGTAGCCTATGAAGAAGGCTGTTTCATCTGTAGTGTGTATATTCGTGACTTCGACAACTTGTGTTATTAGGTGGTCTACACTGCTGTCAGAAATGAAATTTTCGGATATTTTACTTTGTGTAATGGGCACAGTCCTGAACTAGGAGCCGGATTTTTGGGGAAAAAGTGCACTAAATATGCGAGTAAATACGGTATATTTGTGCAATTTAGTACGACAGCACTACGCCAATGTATGGCAGAAACGCTCGCAGCTTAAGTTCCGTTACACCTCTGGCCGTCTTTCAGGTGCACACAGCCGCGTGCTTGTAGGCGAAGGTCAGTGGGAGGCACGGGTGCAGACCCTGGAGCCCAATCCGTGGATTCACGAGGTTTCAACGCGAGGCCACGGGACACGCCTCACACGATCGCTTACAAGGCAGGACCGGTGGGTAGAATTGCTCATGTAGTGCTTTCAAAATGCTTCCCGTTCAACTCCGTCTCGAAGAGACTCGCCCATCGCAATTTGTTGCCAGATGAACAAGTGGAATTAATGGACCAATAAAATGAAATGGATCGATCTATTCCGTTGTTTCTGTTTGTGTGTCGCTTAGTTGGAATGAAATAGAACAGGGGTTGGCAGCCTCCAGCCTGCAAGCCTGGTGCAGTATTATCTGGTCCATGGCACGATGCATAACCACTGCCCTCCACTCGTCACCTTTTATCTGACGGCTAACATAGCAGCTCTGAAGTGAAATATGATTCTGCTTGTAACCGATGTTTGTGGATATCAACTGTGGTACATGTGTGCTGAAAGCAAATATGATATTTCTTCCAGAGATGAAATCCCTGAATACCCACCTCCTCCCGAATCTCCCCTGCCCCCTCAAATTTGCCGTCTTGCCCCAGCTGTGTAGACTTCACGCAACGTGGCCTTCCGCCTCAAAATTTGCTGACCCTTAAAGTAGGACGATTCATTCTATTGCACCATCATACGTAAGCACATTGTCAGTTGTAATTACTGACAAAGAGATTAGGAGTTTAATTATCTCTGCATTTGAACATTACATATTCATGGACTAGTCGAGGCACACGCACAGGGCTTCTCCGTTCCACCCTTGTTTGTTATTTCCCTTTCCAAAAAAATGTATATGCTTGTATTGGTGAAGTAGACACTCGTGATAGCCAGCACGCTGTTTCATCTGTCTTTCTCGTCCCATTTGCCTGCGCTCTTTTCCGTCCTGCAGCTATGCCAACAACCTCAAATTCAAACCCCTTCAATGACTCTATGCCTGCTCAAATGTGTACATGGCACGGACTACTCTTGTTGTATTTATTTTAGGGTGTTGCCTTTTCTCATTGTGTAGACGTCAAGGGACCTGATTTAATTGTTGTATCCCACTTGCATGACTTAGTGCAAGCTGTGCTAATGTCTTTTTTTTTGCTAAAATTCCCATTGTTAGATGTTGCTGTCACTTTATTGTGGCTGTCTCATTGTTGCAGCCTGGAAGAGCTGCTCATGATGGGACTGCGTACTGCTTGTGGAATTAGAGACCAGGTAAGGACAATCACATCCAGAATCTGCTGATATTGGAACTGTGTGTAATAAGAAGGGGAGGGGGGGGGGTGCGAAACAACGAAAAAAAAAGCCCAAGTGTTTTAAATTAGTTTGAGCAAAGTTTTAGTGTGCTCTATAGAGCAAAGTTTTAGTGTGTTCAATATTTGCAAGTTGGTCAACTTCAAAATCCTTCGTGTGCTTCTTAGGGAGCAGCATCTCGTTTTAAACTGAGTGCGTTACAAAGTAAATCGGCATAGGAGACTCGGCTGGAATCGGAACTGTGTGCAATGCGGTTTAAACGAATGTTGTCAACTCATTTAAACAAAAGTTCTGGTATGTTGAACATTCGTGAGCAAGTCAATGTCAAGCTGAGATTTCACTCGCTAATGCTCAATGTACCATAACTTTTGTTCTATTCAGTTGAGAACATCCACTTTTGTTGCACAGCATACACTTCTGATACAAAATTATTCTTATAGGCTGATTTACTTCATAACTTGATTTAGAAACGATTCTGCTCCCCAAGAGGCAGATGAAGTATTTTGCATTTTAAAAACGGCACGTTATAGTAGAAAAAGAATTGCACACTTGAAGTTAGTGCACAAATTATACGTGAAATACCCAAGTTTCATCTCAGTTGGTTAAAAAAGTGAAAAACTTTTTTAAGAGCAAGCCAAATATGCTGCCGGGTTCAACAACTTTGAGCCATCACCTGAGGCACGCCACCATCATCGATAGAGTGTGGGAAGGGACAAGGCTTAATCCCTTTTTCTCCCCGCTTCGTTCGTAAGAACTCTTAATGAAATAGATTCATTCATTCAAAGGCCATGTGCCTCCTAAACTTTCTTGTAATTAGTACGACGATTGTGTGCAGCTTACTATGAATTGGCAGCTGTGTTAGAGTAGTGGGAGCAGTTGCAATTATCTTTGCTCTATACGTTTTTCCCCAAGGACTGGCGAGTTGTGTCCGGAGGCGTTGGCTTGGTCGACAACTTTGCAGGTTGTGCGGAAACTGCACGGCTGCTCGACGCTGGCTTGCTACTGCTTGATGAAAGGTGAGCCGGGGCTCGTTGTTACGTTTTGCTGGGACAGCAGGGGAAAGTTTAGACAAAAAATAGAATTGAATATTCACACGAGGCTCACTAAAAACCTTACAGCATTGACGAGTGAAACACCTGTAACTACTTTAACAGCGTGTCACTGGCGTCTTTCCTTTTTTTTAAAATAATTTTTGCAACCGATTGCCGGCAGGCTATACATTATTATGACAGGTATAATCAAGTGATGCCAAGCCTGATGAAACATTGGAACTGGGCGACCCTCCTCGTTTCTGCTTATTTTTTTCTTACTCACTGTCTCTTTTATCTCTTTTTCATACTTGTTGCTTTACATTTTTCCTTCTATTTTGTTCTCTTTCTGACCTTTTATATTTCTCTTTCTTTCCTTTCTCTCTCTCTCTGGTTTTGTATCTGTCTTTCTTTTCATTCTCCTTTTTCTGTCTCGGGCTCAGTACTTTCTCTTTTTTGTGTTTCATTCGGTCTTTCTTTGTCTTTTTCTGTTTGTTTTTTCTGTTTCTCTGCTTTCCTTCTTTGTTTTTATGTATTTCTCTTTTGGTATTGCCTCTCCTTTCTGTATCTTTTGGTGTGTGTTTCTTTTACTTTATGTCTTTCTATCTCTGTGTGTCTCTGTGTGTCTCTCTGTGTGTTTCTGTGTAACATTCACACACCTTCTCTACTCCCAGTGGGGCTCGCCCGATTCCTGTAGTTCATACTCGCCTGTGTTTTTCTGCGGACACTAGAGCCCTTACGATTGGCATAAACAGCTCCGCTTTAACTAAAAAATAGAAATGCAAGTGGTACACGCCCGAGTCTTCAACTATTGCAATGGACAGATGGGAAAAAGCATGACCACCCTGGCCTCCTTTCTTCCAGCTGCCTGCGTGCCACAAAAGCTGGGATGAATGTTGCGGACAGCCTGGTCTCCTCCATGCTGCCGCAGCTGAGGGCGAGAACTAGCAGCTAGGCTGCCAAGGAGTTTCCTCCACGGGTCCATGTCACGGTCTTCCCGGCCACACGTGTGCAATGCACGTTTTGTTGCTGTGCTTGAACCGTTCGTACGCAACTCTGTAAGTCGGAGCAGCTGTTTTTGCATTTTCTAAGGGCCCCCTGCAAGACCTCCAAGACTCGACAAATGGCTTTGCATGTGTGCGTTGGTCACACCTTGTGTTGGCTCTCCGGACACCGAGATTCTTAGTATAGTAACTAGCGTGCATAAGCAGCACAGATCACACAAAACTGCAAAAGGAGAAAAATGCATTTGAAGGTTCGAAACATTTTTTTTTTTTACCATAGAGTTGTCAGAAATCCATAATCTTTAGCCATAATGTACAAGAGAACTTTGAGAAGCACTGCAAGTTATTGAACTGTCCTGCAGCATAGGTTCTGCCTTCATGATCCTTGCGAGCACACGCTTCGAGCCGTGCCTTTTCACTCTACGACGGTGAGCCATTGCTTCTGCTGTCAAACGCCCGACATCCTCTTGATGCGCTTCGAATCGCAGGAATCGCTGAAAGCAACTAGGATCTCTAGATCGGAGTATGTTCAGCTCTTTCAGAATGTGCTCGAAACTAGCATGACCCTTATTAAACTCCAGGATTGCGATAGCTGCGGCAGTCTCGACAACTCTTCGGGAGACCATTTTGGTCTTAGGGCAAAGTGGCCCTATCCTTCTGAAACCCGAGACATGACGTATTAAAAACCAGCACTTTTTTTTAACTAATTGAATTTATCAGCATACAGAGATAATTCTGATATGATTCTTTATTTTCTATGACGTTGCGTTGAAAAGTTATCAGATGTGCAATATATTGCACACTGGGACTAAGTTGTCAAAAAAACCCGTGGGACACGATGTCATAGACACGCGCTTTTATTGTCCCCTCTGGTCTCATTTCTTGTGAAATGCTTTGAAGCAGTTGCGGCCAGCTCTCAAGCACAAGAATAGGTTACACTTGCAGCATCTGAACTTCGTCCTTTCGCAGCAGCCGGGGTTTCGACACCTGGTTGCGGACTTTTGGTCTACGATCTCCGGCATGTGTGACGCACTGAGTGTGCGCACGGATGGTGAGGGAAGTGGCACAACTGCTGGCTTTCGCAGTTGCAAAGGTTCGCGATCACTTTCAGTTGAGGAAAACCTCTTTTCAGAGGCAAGCAGAAAATGGGCGAGCTCGAGCTTGAAGTCTAGCAGTTGCATGATGCTTTTTCTCTGTGTGCCCAGCTCTCGATGGTCTTGCTTGTAAAGCAGCCAAGAGTTCACGACTCCGACATCCATCATGAAAATGAGGGTCCGAAACGTCCACCTCTTTGTGCGCATGGTAGTGGGGTAGAAGCTCAACATTCTGTCACAGAGATCAACACCCCCCATGTAAGCATTGTACTCTGCGACAACTGCTGGTCTCTTGACAGCAACTTTCTTTCGGTCTTTCTTTGAAAATCGTGTGCAGTCATCACAGGCTCCATGCCCACGTGGGTGGAGGCCAACACGATTGGTTTGTTGTCATACCAATTCGTGATGCATATGTTAGAGACAGTGCTGACACACTGTGACATTGCCCCACGACCTTCCGTACGGATTTCCCGGTCACCATTCAGTTTGAGCCCTTTCGGAAGACGTGATTTCATGATTGTCCCTGTCCCCCTGATGTTCTTTTCAGCCAATGACTCAAGAAGATGTGTGCCTGTAAAATATCGGTCGAAATACAGCGAGCTTCCACACGACAAAGTCTCTACAAGCCTCAGCACAACGGCAGCCCCGATTCCATGTTCTTTCTTTTGTGCGAGGCTCCCTTTTCCCTGAAAGATTTCAAAATCTAGGACAAGGCCTTGAGGGCTTGCCAAGATGAAGTTTTTCAGGCCTGTCGGGTTGGGCTTCCCAGGAACGAACTGCTTCACTGGGCACTTACCGGTGAATGGAATAATTTGCTCATCAACACAGATGTTTGGTGAGCGCGGCAGTTTGAGGCAAGCGTTTCTGATGATGTTAAGGAGAGGACGGACTTTTTATAGCCGGTCGGCTTCTTTCTCTTCATCAGAAACAGCAAGGTCGTCGACAACCTTCAGGTTCAATCGGATCAGAAAAAAAACGATCCCTCGTTATTTTGTCGGCTACGGTGGCGACACGCGTTCCTTGGCCCCAATACATTCTCGCTCGAGGATAACCTAAGCAGCTCATGAGCAATGTCGCTCCAAGGAATACCTTCATTTCCCCAGGAGATGAGTTTAACAACCGTCCTGTGCGCTGGAGGTACGACACTTCTGTCATTTCGTGCAGAAGTTCAAAAGCCTGGTCATCCATGCATCTTGCGTAGTACTGATTTGCGTACCAGCCATCTCTTTCGTCGGCCGTAGAGGACGGTACCTCGGGTAGGTCGGGAAGCACGGATGCGTAGACTTGCTTCCGAGGCCACATTTCGCGAGAAGGCATGACTGGGTTGGAAACACCGTCATCGCCGTCATCGACATCGGTGTCCGAATCGTAGTGGCAATCCTGCTCCTTTTCATCTGCAATAATTATAACAGTGTATCTAACGGGACAGAAGTGGGGTGCAGTAGAATTTTAAAGCAAGAAGTCCACGAAATTTTACCTAGAATTCCGTCGCACTGCTCATTCGCTTCTGCACCATCCGGGGAATTTTCCGAGTCTGACAAGTCCAAGTCGGAATTGTCCCCATTCGCCCCAATCCTCTCAAGAATTTCGAGGGCAGAGGCATCGGCGGCATCTAAGGAGATGTTTTATTATTTATTTGCAATAAATAGACCCTTAATTTCAATAGAGAGAAAGACCAAATCAAGATAACGGGTTCTGCCAAATGTAGTCGCAGAGTCAACATTGTCCTGACGTGCAACCTGTTGCACATTGAACTTACGAGTGCAATGAAGAAGAAAACAGAAGAGTGCAGGCAAAAATAACAATAGTGAATGAGACCCCCGTCCTTCATGAGCTCGTAAAGCGAAATTCAAGAGCATCAGACCATTTTTAAATAGAGTCGCCGACCGATTTTCCGGACTCCAAAAATTCGGACTTGTTGGATATTCCGGACTTCATAAATGCACTGTCAGGGATCCCATAGAGCTAATGCATCGTTTCGACCGATTTTTCGGGCGAATTTGCCCCTGAAAGTTCGATGTTTCGGACTAAATCACTCGTTTTGTGCCACGCCCCAAGCCATTGTGAACGCCGCCATGTTGGATTTTCTGTCGGCTTGGCTAAGCTTGATCTTCAGATGCTTTTCCTGCCTCCGAGATTGGAATGCGCACATCATATTTTAAGTTTCGGAGGCCGTGTTTGCTTTTTAAAAGATGCGGTGATGGATGCCGTTTTTTCGTCTTCGGTCAGCACTATCGTCGTCACATCGCACGGGGAGGAGGCGAAAGAAGGATTCTCTACTTGCCACAATGACATTTAAAGACTTCACTCGTGCGGACGACGACAGTGTTTCGTGCGCGGAGGCCACTGACGACGAAATTTTTCGCCAGGTTGTCCCGGAGCCGGAGAGCGGCTCGGATGACGACAACGACGACCGCCCGCAGCCGTCGGCGGCGGAGATCGCCAACGCGGTGACAATTTTGTCGAGCGTTTATGGCAACGATGTCACCTTAGCGCAAATACGGGTAAACCAAATTGCCTCCAAGCGTAGTTTGAGGCAAGGCAGCATCAAGGACTTTTTTAAACCTGCCTGATGCAATAAACTTCAGATTTTTGGCGAAAACGAATTTTTCGGACTGTTCGATTTTTCGTACCTTTTCTCGGTCCTCGCCAGGTCCGAAAAATCGGTCGGCGACTGTACATGAAAACGATTTACCTTGACGACGTCGATAGAAAACCTCCGGACTGAAAGACGCCATTTTTGTTTGTTAGCAGGAGTGCCACCCAGCGCCTACAGTTTCATGAAATACCAACAGATGGCACTACCAGTCTCTACTGTAGCTTGTATACTCTGTTCTGGTTTCGCTTTTAGTTCATTTTGTTTACAGAGTGCTGAAATCTGAATGGGCAATACGTTGCCCGCAGGGTCTTTGGAGGATATCTTTCTGTTCAGGGATTCCGACGCATTTTGGGTTTTCTCTTGAATGCATTGAGCAAGGAGCTTCTCATCTGTCAGTCGCTTATAAATTAGCAGAACAGCCAATCCCTGGGCTTTTGTCAGAAGAGGTGTGTGGCGTGGTGCAGGTTTGCCAAGTTCTTCAGCCCGTTTGTTTGCACCACGAGTCTGTTTCTGCAGGGCAAAAGTTGTGACTGCCAGCATTGTCCGTGGAGCATGAGTGAAAGTATGAAGCCCATACTGTGGTTTACATATTCCAGAGACTCTCCCTGTTGCTTGTTATGGCAATCTGGTAATACATTTGATGCTTCTGAATGGCCAGCTCTTTCATTTTCTGCCCTCGTGGTAATGGCACGTGAAGCTTCCGTAGTGCAGGGCCAAGTCTTTTGGTCACATGGTTAGTGCAGTCTTCTTTTTCTATACTGAGAGCCCCATAAACTTTTGACTCGGCAACTGCGCTATATGCTTTGCTGTCACCGTCACTCAAAAACTTCATGAAACGCAATGGAGTTTCATAACTGAACGTTCTCCGCCAAATGTGCATTGCAGCCTCTGTTTTCATGGCATGGGAGGAACAGTCTGCATTTTTTTCAGAGTGGTCCATGGAATGCCTGCCAAACTTCTTCGTCAGGGCCCATATCCTTGTGTTTACAGCATGTGAGGCAGAAATTTGAAATGACCTCAAAGTCTAAGCAGAGGCCGGTATCTGAAAAGATAGCTAGGGCCCCTAACTTTATGCGGTGGAAAATTTGGAATTCTGAAATTCCAGATAGAGAAATCTGCGAAGTTCCGCAGCAACTCTAAACATGCGAAATTCTGTGGCAATAATGAGCAAATGCGAGAAGGCACACGTAACAACTTATTTATCACACTTTCAGGCTTGCAACATGCCTGCAATAATTAAAATTGGAGAAAGCTGTTGGGGCACAGCATCAGATGGTGCTTGGTGCTCTCTTCACTTAAAGAGTGACGATTGTGGGAGACAATGTCACCATAGTGACTGAATGATCTCTCTGCATCAACAGAGTTGATTGATATCGCCAAGTATTTCAAGGGGATTGATGAAATTGTTGGAGTAAGCTGCTCCATCCCTGCCCAGAAAGCCAGTATGTCGAAGTCTGCTCCTGGATTTTGTTGCTTGGACACAAATGGAGCCAGGCCCCTGTCACTGGTCTTTAGTTCTTGTGCAGTCTTCAGGTAAATCTGCCATTCGGCAGCTAGAGCAAGTGATTCTTCTGCAAGCTGAGGCATACCTTTCAACTCTGTCCTCATCTGTGGAAGACACCAAACTTGCAGAGGATCCAAGCACCTAACATACTTGAAGAATTGCCACGTATTGGACTTCTCCAAGTATACCTGTGCTTTGTTAGCCGCTTTGGTCATTGCAGCCTTCATCTTGCTTTCAATTTGATTGGCTTCATTACGTGCAACATTCTCTCTCTTCAGCTGTGTTGCCAAATCCTCCTTTGAAGCTGCTTCAAGGAACCCCCAAAGTGTAAACAATGCATTGTACGCTTTGTGGAAGGCTACGCGCTCACCTTCTGCTGCTTTCAGCAAGCTGGAAACTTTTTTCCCAAATACCGCAATGCACCGCATGCTGTACCTGAGCTCAGTCGAGTCTTCACTAAGCAGTTTCAGAAGAGAATCAACACACGCTGCTTCACCATACTTCTGGTGGACTTGCTGAAGCAATGAAGGATAGTGCTCGAAGTAGGCAGAATGTTGTTCCGCAGCCTCAATCCATGAATTCCACCTGCTTCGGACAGGTGCTGGCGGTGCTTTGGCACACTGAACTCCGCACTCTTCCAGATGTGATTTGTAGAAAGCTCTCTTTCTACTCGACAGGCGGAAGGCCTTCTTCTTACAAGCGACAAGCTTGTTCACTAAGGGAAAAGATGCCTGCAGTGTGCTGCCAACAATGTTCACTGTATGGGCTACACACGTAATGTGAACAGCACCTTCACAAAGTGGCTTTATGCACTCCTTAAAGGACTTCACCATGTAAGGGGCGTTATCGGTAACAAAGCCTGATACATCATCAAATTCAACTCCATACCTCGTGAGTGTTCTTGTCACGATGCGTCCAATGACAGATGAGTTCACTTCATCCATGAATTTCACTTCCACGAGTACAGGTTGTAGTGCAGCATTTGCCGTTCTGGCCAATTGAACGAACAACACGTTCACAACCTATTTTGGTCGGTCGTTGGTGGTTTCGTCTATAATTACAGAAACTGTGGTGCCTTGAAACATAGCTATCAAATTTGCCTCTTGCTTTTTGAACAATTCTGGAAGTCGTCGGCGGAGCGCGTCGGATCCCGCACCGATCCGCCATTCCGAACGTGTGTCTGCAGAAACGTTCTCAGTTTCGGATTGTCCACCTTCTCAAGGGGAATATTTGCGGATATCAATGCATCCAAGAACTTGAGCACAATATCGTTCCTCGCTTCACTAGCCGTGATTGCGGATCCCAGCGTTTGCAGTCTACTTTGCTTCCTCGGCGCTCCTGCACTTCCGGCTCCATCTTCCAATGGTTCCTTCGCTTAGAGGAGTGTTTGTTTCAACGAAATTCTTGCGATGAGGATTGCTTTCGATGTGCTTGTCAATAGTTGATTTGCGGAGATGGTCAACTGCTCTTGCGCAAGCGCGGCAAAAAAGCACACCTCCATCTTCGTAAAACTCGGCGTGCTTGTATTCTCGAGCGCGTTTCCTGGCAGTCTTTTTACTTAAATGTGACCCTGAAGGCGCCATGTCTATTCATGCATCGATCTTCAACCAAAGCTAGGGTGGCTAGAACGACCAAAGCAAACGAAAACAAGGTGCACGTGCAGTGTGCTTTTCATTCATTTCATTTTCATTTTCAACATTTTCATTCCACTGTCTATACAGTGCCGACTGTTTCATTGTTACTTGATGATATCTTTTTTCATTCTGAGGTAGATAGCTAAACACAAGAACACTTATCAGAGAAGCCAGTGGTCGTTTCCCACTAGCACTCTTAGTGTGTTGTGCTTTCAGCACTTTGTTTTGAGCCTCTATGCCCTTGTTGGTGCTCAAAACTACATCAAAACCTAGACGGTAGTAGGCCACCCAGAGCTCTTTGAGAGGCAGCCACACAGTTTCAAAATAGTTCTGAAGCTTCTCATTCTTCCAATGGACAGAACTGTGAAGATCCTCTTTAGCCTTTTCAAAGCTCTCCTCACTTTGAGAGTTGGCAATCTGCTTCATCAGATGCAGGACGACGCTTGGATGTTCAACATTATTCTCTTTTCGACGAAGCCACCTCTTCCAGGCTTAAAGTCTGTGAAAGTCACGTAAAGATATGTGACTGCAGCTGTGAATGGGAATGCAGCTCCTTCAAAATGGCCTCAGAAGCACGTTTCTTTCCAGCATTGAACCGAGCAACCGCTTCCGCAACAGCAGTTTCGACTGTGAAGAGCGAGGCGTGCTTGGTTTTCGGTACAAGCGACCAGATCACTGAATGGAGGCTCTCATTCGTGTTTTGAGTTTTGCCTCTTTGGCAGCGCTCCAGCAGCTTTCGATCTGAGAGGCGAGTGTACCCTGGAAGGAGCGCTTCTGCAACATATTCCGGGAGGTTGTACCGATGCTTAGGAGGAGCCTGCTGCCTTGCCACTGCCTTGTTGTGGGCACACCATGAGTCTTCTCCCTTTGGGCACCGTGAATGTTGTGGCTTTGCATCAGTAGAAGTCGCATGATAGTAAGTGGCAAGGACAGCATCCTCCATCTCATCGATGTTTCCCTGGTGTGCCTTGAGTGCCCAATCATAATAATTTGTAAGCTTCGTTACAAGCTCAGCAGTGAGCTTTCCTTTGTCACCGAGGCTTGGCCGACCTTCCCTCTTGCTCTTCTGCAGAAGGTGTCTCAGTGCAGCACCCATCCTTTTATGTATATGATTTACGCAATCCTTTTCGATAGCCACGAAGCCATACACTTGCTCCTCCTGAAGGCTGTTGAAAGCGCAGCTATCGCCATCGCACAACATCGTTGTGTAGCAGAATCTATGCTTTTCGAGGGACCGGCGAAACAGAATTTTGGCAGCCTCCACCTCCATCTGGCCAGGCTTGCTCGAAGAGTTTTTTTGGCACTTCTGCCGAGCTCGCCACTCACTGTATCAAGGGTCGCCGTCTTTGGGGCCAATCTCGCAACCCAAACAGAAGTTCGAGAGAACTTTGAAGTCCAACACATAGCTCGAAAACAGTTCTATTACAGTTCCCACACAAATGTGGGACAAGTGGCCACGAGTGAGCCAAGTTCCGTCGAAGGAAACTGCGATATTGCCGGGGTTCCCGAAATTCAGTTCAGAATAGATGGCCTTCACAGCTGTTGCGCACTCTCTCATAATACCCGCAGATGCGTTCATCGCGGCAGGGTTCATCTTGGTTTGACGTAGTCTTGGTACGTTTTGTTGTGCATTCCACGACGAGACACATTCAGGGCCGAAAAAATGTCGTTTAGCACGGTTTGCCCATTGCCCGTGCTCATAACTGCACAAGCCGCAAGCACATTTACTTTGAAAGGGTTGCAGGTCGCATTCCCCCCCTGCTCTCGGCGAGCTCCATCTGGCGCTGACATCTCCGCAGACGGCACAGTTCACCACTGTTCTAACTGCCAATCTGTACTCACGGTCGCCCCATAAAACGTTCAATGGGCCAGAGCAGAATTCGCATTTCGTGCACCGAAGCAGTTGGTTCAGCAGCGGTAGGCTTAGCAGCGTCAACTCGGTGCCGGACCCCGCCGCTTCCGGGGAATCTCCGATAAGCGACCGCTTTCGGCGGGTAGCTGATAACGAAGACAGCTTCTGTCGTTGCTCTTCCGCGCGATGCTCAATTGCCACTTTTTCCGCTTCTGTCACAAAATGCATATCGACATGCGTTGTCCTCGTGTCGTCGGCCACAGGCATCGCTTGCGCGGCTGCAGCTTCGGTGGATATCGTACACTCGCTGGCGCATGTCGCGGAGCTCGTCGCCATCGATTCACTCGACACTGCTTCAGGTATCCGAGACCGAGGCTTGCGTTTTTTGCCGTAGGCATAAGCTGTCGCGAATTTGCGTCGCCCGCCAGCCATCGTCGCGTCCGAACAATTTGTGACAAGTGAGTGAGTGAGTGAGTAACAACTTTATTAGTCGAAGGGGTGAGGGGTAAGGGAGGCTAAGCCACGAAGGCTGCCAGGCTGTGCTTCTCGATGACTTCTTCCGCTCGTTTCAGGACCCGTGTCTGGATGTCTATGTCGTTGCTGGAGAGAAGGGCCTCCCATTGTCCCTCGGTGGGGGGTGAGCAAAGGAGGTCGGCGGGCGGGGGATCCTCCGGCAGCCCCAGAGGATGTGGTTCAACGAGGCAACGTTGCCGCACAGGCAGCAGCGTGGATCGATGGCACCTGGGTGCATGTATGAAAACACGAGGGGGCACGGGAAGGTGCGGGTCTGTAGGCGACGCCAGGCGATCTCGGACCGCTTGGGAAGGCTGCTGTGAGGATGTGAATAGAAATATCGCTCGAGGCGATAGTGCTGAGTGATGTCGTGGTAGGTGGACCAGGGGCTCCGGCACCAGGGCGTCCGACTCTGAGTGGCCCACCGCTCGGTCGACGAATCCTCGAGCGCGTTGGTGAGCTGTCTCGTTGCGGGGTGACCCGAGTGGGCGGGGACCCAGATCAGTTCTATGCGGCACTGCTCATCTCTGCTGCAGTAGGGGCCGAAGTAGCCGTAAGGTGGTAGGCGAGACGAGACCTCGCGCGAAATTCGAGATGGCTTGTTTCGAGTCGTGATTATGACGCTTGCGTCAGCCGAGGTCGCGGCCAAAGCAATGGCCACTTCCTCCGCCTCGACGGCGTAAGGCGTTCTGACGGTGCCAGCCGTGATGGTCGGCCCCAAAGGAGCTGAGGAGGGCGACACGGAAACGACTACGAAGGCGTCCTGCGTGCATTGTATCGGGCCGCATCTACGTAGGCGACGGCCGGGTGGTCGGCGTACTTTGCGTGAAGCATGGCGGCACGGGCTTGGCGGCGAGCGTCGTGGTGGCCCGCCAGCATATTCTTAGGTAGCGCTTGATGTAGAACGCCGCTCGAATAGCATGGGGTAATGAGACCAGATCCGGAGGGTGGGAGGAGGTGTCGTGGCCGATGGAGGAAAGGATGTGGCGACCGGATCGGCGAACGGTAAAGGCGTTGCACTTGAGCGGAGCGGTGAGCCTCAATCAACTCGTCGAGCGTGTTGTGTACACCCAAACGGAGAAGACGATCGGTGGACGTGTTGGGGGGAAGGCCGAGGGCAGTCTTGTATGCCCGGCGGATGAGGACGTCAATTTTATCGCGTTCCGATTTTAGGAGACGTGTATAAGGAAGGCCGTACGTGAGGCGGGAAACGACGAAAGCGTCGACAAGGCGAAGTAGATCGTGTTCTCGCATGCCCTCACGCCGCGCACGGACACGGGCGAGCATACGTGCGGTCTGCTGCACCGAGAGCGAGAGCTTGTCTATGGTGTGTGTATTATGGCGGTTGGACTGTAGGATCAGCCCGAGCACGCGGAGATGCGAAACGACGGGGACAGGAGTAGAGTTGGCATGAACCGTGATGGTGGGGTGGGGAGTTTTGTAGCGACGCCGGTCGGGAGGCCGCATGAGAAGAAGGGCCGATTTGGCCGCTGAGCAAGTAAGACCGGCCGCGTGCACGTGGGACGTGACGACGTCGGTTGCGCGTTGCAACGTCTGCTCGATATGGCCGTCAGAGCCCGACGTGACCCAGAGAGCAATATCGTCCGCGTACAGGGTGTGTTTAAGACCGGGGATACGGTCCAGCTTGCCAGGAAGCGAGCGGAGGACAAGATTGAATAGAAAAGGCGACAAGACGGCGCCCTGAGGGGTGCCACGAGGGCCAAGCTCGTACGTGGGAGACGGGAGGTCCCCTATGATGATTTCGGCCGTGCGGGCGGTGAGGAACGCGCGAATGTAGTTGTAGGTGCGGGTGCCGGGATTGAGGGCTGCGAGT